AATTGGAAAATCTGTGGTTATTACTGACAGGATACCATTAAGGTGGCAGAGGCCTAAGACTTCCTCATCGGTTTGACACGACACCTTATTTGAGCTTCAGTATCGCATATCTACATCACAGCTCATCGCAATTCCCTCACCCTCCATTGAAAACACAGAATCTGCAAATAAAAGGCCGATGAAAATGGTTTTTCTAGTCATGTGATTCCGCGATTCACTCTTCCAACCGGTAATACTGCCTTCTGTCTTGATCCGATCCTTTGTTTCCTCCCCCATTGGGGCGTCTTTGTGAGAACGACGTTTGGCGGATCCTCCCACCCCTTACCTACAGCATTTGGGTTGTGCCCTCCCCTCTTGCATAAAATGCATTTGAAGGAACACGAATATTAAATTGCACTTATCACATTCCAAATAGCATTTCTTTGGAAGCTGCCCTAACGATCATCTGTTCGCACAGGTAAGCTGGAGGTATGAAATGTGCTATTAGTGCGAAGTAAACCTGACGCAGACGCTTTGATATGGTGTGACAAGGACTAAACTGCTTCTTTTCACATTAGTATTGTTGGATTTAAGGAGTTGAAAACAATGCGATTGAGTCTGGTGAAGGAGAAGGCCCGATTGGTGGGAACGTGTGAGGAGTTGAAGGCCTACCTGACGAGCATGTGGAAACGTCTTCAGAAACCGGTGGAAGAATGTGAAGCCTTCCTTAAAAAGTGCGAGGCCTTCACGCCTCAGTCCCTTCAACTACTTCAGGTAAGCTTTATTAGTAGCAGTCAAAAATCAGCCAATAAAAGTCCTTCAAATCTTCTAGCTTGTGATTGGCTAAACGAGTGACTGTACTTAACTGTTTAGTGATTGGGGTAATTGTTGACGTACAACTTGACAGTTAGTTAAGGTTTTACCTCAAATACCAAATATCACGTTTCAAAATTTGTGGCAAGCTTGATGGAACTATTTCTCTGGTCAAGAATTATTTCCGTTGAAAAGGGATCCAACTGTGATTCACCTTTACCATT